TGCAAAATGGCCTTAGAAGAGCTCGGGTTTGACCTTTTCGCACCGGAACACAAGCAGATTGTCAGGCAAGTTCTTGAGGCCTACCTCAAGGGCGAACCTGGAATTGACGAAGACAATGATAAAAATGTGTTTAAATTGATCGAAGACGATGAAGAAGAGCCTAAAGAAGAAAAAGATGATGACGAAGAGTAGAGAAAAGGAAGAGAGCTGAAGAGCATGATGACAATGGCGATCTTCTTATCTGTAAGAACATCTCCAACGATGCTCTATATCTTCAAATTTGAAGCATCCTCCCTCTATTCTCCATTTGGGAGTATGAAAAATCAAGGAGAATCGCTATAACACTATTACCTTTACAGGAAGGAAGGTCTTCTCATCTCTTTTATAGTAATCCCTCCATCATAGACTCCAAAGTCTTCCCTCTAAACTCCTGCATTGTCTCCTCTTTGATAGCTACAAAACATTCAAAACCACAAACTAACTCTCTCTCTCTCCCTCTCTCTCCCTCCCTCCTTTCAAAACATAGAAATAAAATGAAAACAAACACACCCTTTAAAAAACAACCTGTCGCGTTTGGCAAGTTGGGTGTTTTAGTCCAAAAGTTATTAAAAAAATAAAAAAGCCTATAATTTATACTAAAAGTCAAAAATTCTTTTTTTTCTCTACTTTTTGCATATCTTTTCGTAAAAAGCCAAAAAATCACTCTAAATATATTAGTTTTTTTCTCCTCATATTTTAGCCAAAAAAACTAAAACATTACTAAAAGTAAATAATTTTAAGCTCCAAATCGAAGCACATCTTAGAGCATCTCTAACCCAATTCTCTCACCAAGAGGATGAAAATAATTTTTTTTTATTCAAAAAGTAAATATAAAATATGTCACTATTCATTCAAAGTTTAACCACAAAATTTCATTTTCTTTTCTAAATATTCCCCTTCAAAATTAACCATCAATTTTCCTTCCATTAATTTTCTCTCCATCTATTATTTTAAAGAAATATCAAAAAAGGGATGATGAGTTCGGTAAAGCATTAGTAATATTTAATTTTTAATCTTTTGCTAAATATATTTAATATTAAACTCATTTTAAAGATATAATTTTAATATTTTTAATGATATCAAATTTATAAAATTTAAATGTACATATTAAAAGTTATTCGTATTTTATAATATATAACAAAAAATACAAAAGGATATAATTGGTATATAAATTTAAAAACAAAAGGATTTAAAGACAAAATTAATATTTAAAAATATAAATCTATTTTCTTGATTAGAGTTTTTTAAAAACACTTTTTAGAAAATTTACTTTCGTGTTTTCCGTATTTTTTTTGTTTTTACTGAATTTTTTTAATATTTTAAGCAATTTTTAAAATTTTTAGACATACCTACCATAAATATATCTAAAAAGTAAAAAAAATTGAAAAAAACCTTTTAAAAATTAACTAAACACCAAAAATACAAAAATAAAATACGAGAATTCACTACATTTTTTGTATTTTTATGTATTTATTAATTTTTTAAAATATTTTTTCACAAATTTTTTACTTTTAAGATACATCTAAATAAGGTGCATCTAAAAAAGTAAAAAAAAAAATTAAATTTTAAAAATATTCAGTAAAAACAAAAAAATACGAAAACTCAAAAACTTAGTTTCCAAAAAACTTAATCCAAAAAACTCAAACCAAATACACTGAATTAGTGCGTTTGGTTTGAGTTTTTTGAATTAAACTTTTGAAAATTGAATTTTTATTTTTTGCATTTTTTTGTTTTAGTGAATATTTTTAAAATTTTAAGTATTTTTATTTTTACTTTTTTAGATGCATATTACTTAGATATATCTAAAAAGTAAAATATTTGTGAAAGAATATTTTTTTAAAAATAATAAATACATAAAAATATGAAAAATATACTGAATTTTTGTACTTTTTGTATTTTTGGTATTTAGTGAATTTTTTAAAGATTTTTTTCACAAAAATTATACTTTTTAATTGTATTTATGTTAGGTGTATCTAAAAGTTATAAAAATTGCTTAAAATATTAAAAAAATTCAGTAAAAAAATATGAAAAATAAGAAAATAAAATTTTCTGAAAAGTGTTTTTAGAAAACCCAAACCAAGCATAGTGAATACAATTTAGCTTGTTTGGTTTTGGTTTTTAGAAAATAATTTTTAAAAAATTCTATTTTTTTATTTTTCGTATTTTAACGTTTTTAATGAATTTCTTAAATATTTTAAGTATTTTTTAAATTTTTTTAGACATAATTAACATAAATACACTTAAAAAATATAATATTTGTGAAAAAATCTTTAAAAAATACAAAAACTCAGTACAATTTTCTTATTTTTGTGTATTTATTAATTTTTTAAAATATTTTTGTACAAATATTTTATTATTTATATATATCTAAGTAATATGTATCTAAAAAAGTAAAAAAAAATGCTTAAAATTTTAAAAATGTTCACTAAAAACAAAAAAACATGAAAAATAAAAAACTCAATTTCTAAAAAATTAAATTCAGAAAACTGAAAACAAACACACTTATTAATATTTCTAACTTTTATGCTATTTTTGGAAACCTAGGAGAGAATAGAAAAGAAATGATTATTTAAGTTATAAGTGAAAAGAAATTATTGTGATTTCTCTCATTTTTGTTTGGATGAGTAAGAAATAAAAGAAATGAAATAATTGTGATTTCTCTCCTTCTTGTTTGGTTAAATTTCATAAGAGAAAAGAAAAAAAAGTTGTTTTATATTGTATTACCAAAATAACATTTTTATATTTTGTCAATCATTTTATTTCTTTTATTTTTACGGGGACAAAATTGGTATTATGAAAATATAAGAATCTGTTGGTTTCTTTTCTCTCTCAATCTCTCAACTTTTGAAAAGATTGAAAATGAGGATTATAAGAGAAATTACTTTGCTTGGTTCCCATTTTTTAAAAACAATTTTCAGAAAACTCTACACTCTTATTTTCCGTATTTTTTTGTTTTTACTGAATTTTTTTAATATTTTATGCAAATTTTTTACTTTTTAGACACACCTAACATAAATACACCTAAAAGTAAAAAAATTGTAAAAAAAATCTTTTAAAAATTCACTAAATACCAAAAATACAAAAAAAATATAAGAATTTAGTACATTTTTTGTATTTTTATGTATTTCTTAATTTTTTAAAATATTTTTTCACAATTTTTTTACTTTTTAGACACATCTAAGTAAGGTGCATCTAAAAAGGTAAAAAAAATATTTAAAATTTTAAAAATATTAACTAAAAACAAAAAAACACGAAAATCAAAAAATTCAATTTTCAAAAAACTTAATCCGGAAAACTCAAACCAAACACAGTGAATGGTTGTTGGAAATGGTTATAAAATTCTGGATAAAACCAGAATTTTTTTCTAAGTTCGGTCTATTTTTTAGGTGGGCCCCGATTGTCGATTTACTCGGGTCAAAGTGGTAACGCGTTCTATGCCGCGTTGTGATTCACGTGGTATATTTGGTTGCTCAAAACCATTACCGAGTGAATGGGAAATTGAAGCCAAAGTGTGCTCCATGGAAATGGAGTTTTGGTGGAAATTCCTTAAGGTTGTAAATTGGCTTCTCCCACATTGATTTGGTGAGAAGTTTTGAAAGGGTTTATAAGGCTTAGGGTGAGATACTTGGGGTGTGCCCCAAGGGGTACCCAAGTGTTTTAGAGGGAGAGGTTATGGGCAAAATGGGCTAGACCCATTGGACCCAAAAATCACCACACACGCGTGCCGCCACCGTCCATCCGAGCTGGGCTGGGCTTGGGCACGGGTGTTTGGTTGGGTTGGGCTTCTAATCTTTTTGGGCAAAAAATATTTGAATTTAATTTTATTTTTTATTAAAATAAAATTCAGAATTCAAATTAAATTGGTTTGGATTTTTTGTTCATCGAAACAGGGCTTAAACTGATTTGGATTTATTGCTCATCCAAACAGAGCCCTTCCCGTTTTCAAACAGAATTAAACTGATTTGGATTTATTGCTCATCCAAACAGAGCCCTTCCCGTTTTGCTATCTGTTTGAATTCAAAACCAACAGGTATCATACCTGTTCAATTCAAAACCAAAAGCCACCTTTACATCTATAAATAGACTAGCCTCCCATTTGAATTTCACTCCAATTTTCGTACTCCATTCTCTGTTTTAAATCTCTACATTTTGCTGCATCTTATTTCTGAAAGAAATAGTGTAAACACTTTAGTGTAAACACTTAGTGTGTTCGTAAGGCAAACAATTAGTAGTGCTGCTATTGTTTGTGGTAGATCATTTCATCCTGGGAGATAGACGTCCGAATTCTGAAAGCACCGTGGAGAGGACGAATCTGTCTTAAGGACACAGTGTCAAACACTGGATTTGATCAGAAAAGTTTTTTAAACAAATTAACCAAGTAAGTAGTTTAATTTAATTCTGTTTTTATTTGTTTATTTAATCATATTTTAATTTTGTTTTTTGTAACAAAATAAAATCTGTGGTTTTATTTATTTATTTTTATTTTGAGTTTGATTTTTATAATCAAACAAATTCTCTCATTTTCTCTATTTCTTAGTTTTGTACACAACAGAATTTAATCTTTTTAAATACAGTGAACATTGTCCTACATAGGTTTCTCTCCGTTTCTATCTATTTCTCTCCATTTTTTTCCACTTAAGTTATCCAAACAAGTAAAAGAAATATATATCTTCCATTTCTTTTCTGTTCTCTTCAAATCACTCAATCCAAACATAATAACTTGTTAGGTGAACTTGCTGCTTTGTATTATTGGGTTGATGCATTGATGAAAAATGAATTTGAATATATATATTTTGATCGAGAAGATGAAAAAAATCAAGTTTTGTTTGTTTAAAGGGACATAAAGTTAAATCAGGAATTTGTTTCAACACTTCTACTGTTGTGTCTCCAGTTTTCGGTTTTAAATTTCTTATACTCTTTATGCTGTCAGTGAGTGGTTTGTGCTAATACTTTTGCTTCCACTATTGGTCTCTAGGAATAAGCTTGCCAAATGACCAATGGTCATCCTTCAAGAAGAATGTGCCTGCAATAATATAGCGGTAAATCCGAAACTGTGAACCAGTACACAACGTACTGATGAAAAAAAGAAAAGCAGGTACGCTGGCCAATATGGGATTGACAATTTTGGTGTCACGTAGCTGGTGAAAAAAAAATCCATGTATACATAAAGCTATCTAATTCACGCGACAGAGAGGGACGCGCTCTTTGTTTTTGTCCCCTTTTCTTTTGAGGATTTGAAAATACAGTCTCGTCTTTGACGCGTGTCAAAGGCGAGGGCATGCCGCTGGGCTAGATAGAAGCCCTTTGGCAAAAAGGGATAGAGAGTGATGAGTTCAACAGCCTACATGCTGAGCATTTTTAGAGAAGAAATTTCTAACATCATCATAGATTACTAGCAGATGAAAATCACTCATTAAGACCCTAGTTTCCATCAACAATCACACAAGGGGAATGTATTGGGTAGAGTCTGATAGTATGTAACCGGCATCAGTAATCCGGTGACCGAATTGGCTTCCGACTTACTCCCCCTTGTCCACAACCGATCTTTGTCCTCTTGGGTGTAACACTAGACGAAGTTGCAGCCAGTCTCATTTGCTCAATCAATGCCTCCGTATTAACCTCTTCTGACAAAATTTCCTCCAATTGTTTCGTATCAATCACCAACTTCACTCTCCAAACACCCTTCTGCGGTGGCGGCAGGACCTCAACAGCCAATCCGTTTTTCATGTTGGTAATTACGTCCAGCGGATGCGCTGTCCTTACTGACGCCTTTTTCAGGCCTCTAGCTTCCTCTCTGTGATGAGCCAATGTCGTCTCCCCAAGTGGGAGAAGATAGTAAAACCGACCACCACGAAGTTGTTCGTGGTCAAGTAATCGCGATGATATGTGACCTTGCCCAAAAATGCCATAACCGGGGAAGCCACTGATGACTTCTCCGACAAATTTAGGACCTTCAAACTCTATAATGCTACCGGAATCTGTCATAATCCGGATAGAGTTGGGATTGGGACATTCAGCTACAGCAACACCTTTTGCAGAACAATTCCCCATTACAACAATTTCTACACCTTGTATTGTTTTCTCAGAGGTTACTCATATACTCATATATATATATATATATACACACACACACATTCTAAATTAAATTGTAAGAGATCACGGGCTGAGAAGGGGAAGAAGACAAGTGAAGGTGTAAGAGTGTACATTTCTGACTTGTTATTTTGAAAATTCAAAGTGAAATTAGACCGTTGGAAACCATCAATCAAAGAACAATTTGAGTCGATCCCAGGCAAAGGAATAGAACAAAGTTACCATGATAAACTAAATTAATATCGCTTGACGACATTTTAGCCGCGGCCCAATGGAATAATGAGTGACTGGGGTATGTGCATCAATACTGTTTTGAATTCCATGTCATGATAATTTTTAAATAGTAAGATAAAAAAAAAAATGCATGTTCTTATGTCAGTGGCTCATGTTTTTATGTCTGTGTCATGTTTTATGTGCCGTTTTGGGAACATGGTAAAAAGTCACGTTTTTTGGACAAAATGTTCAAAAACGTGACTGCCAAAAACGCCAGAAAAGCCATTTGGCAAGTGTCAAAAGCCATTTGGCAAGTGTCAAAAACACAGTCGTAAAATTATCAATTAGGGCCTATGAAAAAAAAATAAAAAAAATAAATCTCTTATGTTGGGTAAGAGTATTTTGGTCATTTTAATTTGATTTGACACCATAAATAAATATTAAACTAAAAAGCAAAAAGTCAGCTTTTTATCAACTTCCCAAATCACTTCCAAAAAAGCCAAAAAACTTAGTAAAAAGTCAAAAGCCAGCTTTTTACCAACTTCCCAAAACAACCCTATGTCAGTGTCTTGTATTCTCGTAAATTTACTGTTTCAGCATGACATTTTAGATTCAATTCAAACAAGTGAAAATTTTGTTGTGAAAACTGTCCTTACCCGAGACTAATATGCAAATCAAGAAGGAAATCAAGATCTGTGTTTATTGAATTGAAGTGTTCATCATCATTTGAAGCCTATTTTGGCAATTGGAAAAAAAAATCAATTTTTTGATTTATTGATTTATTTAGCTCACACTATTTTCTTTTTTTTTTTTACGTTCTTTTAAAAAAATTCAAAAAAAATTAAATTTTTCTTACTTTTCCAAATGGGCCTAAGTTTGTGCAGCTTTATGCACAAGAACTTTTCACCAGTATTAGATTTGACAATTGATTTTTTTTTTTTTGACACCACATTTTATTGTTTTGTCTATTGTGACTTATTAATTGTGGTCAAATTTAATTATGGTCTGTTGATTGAAATCGTAGACTATTTTTAAAGAATAACGTTGGCCAAATTTTTTGTTGTTATTATTATTATTATAATGCATGCTGACGTGGTATGACAGATGTGTTAAGGACGTGACATGATGTGGCATGACGACATGTGAAATAGAGAGTTAGAAAGTTAGCCATTGCAACCATTTGAAAAGTAGTTGCCGAGATCAGGAGCCAAGACTAAATCAAGCAACAAATCTACAAAGTGATTACTACTCTCTCCGTTCCCATATAATGGTCCCTTTTGGGGAATTCAACTTTTGGTAGTACAATTATTGCATTTGAAAAAAGCCGATTTTTCAAAATTATCCTTTTGATAGTACATTTTTTTAGGAATATCAATGTTATAATTGTACTTTTTATATTGTTTATTAATTTAAAAGAAGGGCAATAGAAAATTTATATTATTTTTATACTTGATTTTTGAAGAGGGACTAATATTTTGGGACAATGAAAAATGAAATAAGGGACTAATATCTTGGGACGGTGGGAGTATCAAATATGGAATATGAATGATGTTGAGAAAATCATGGGCTTGTTGAAGAAATCGTGCTTAGATTATCTTTCTCTCACATGGTTGTGCCTATAAATAGGCTAAGAGAAATACAAAGAAGATCATCTATCATCAGCAGCCACTCACAAATCGTGAAAAATTATTTAGGAGTAGTTTAATTTAGCAATTGTTAGGAGTAGATTAGTAATAACTTTTTCCAACTCCTATTTCTCTTCTTTCTATCGATTGCAGTATTTTTCATTTTTTTGTCCTTATTTAAGTTCTTGTAACTAGTAACAATTGACAATTTAATCGAATAAATGCATATTCTGTTCTGTTCTATTTCTTCTTCATCTAATAACGTTCAGGGAAGTCCTTAATCTATTTAAGATAGAGAACTCAACCACGAAATCTGATCTTTTTATATTTATTTGAAAATTAGTTTAAGTCTATCGATCAATCACTATTGATTGGGCATAAACTGATTTTTTTGCTAACAGTTAGTGAATTTTTAAAAAAAGTTTCAAATAATTTTTACTAGATTAGACGAATTTAAAAAATATACAAAAAATAAAAAACAAAAAAAATTAATTTTTGTTTTTTTTGGCCTGTAGTATATATATATATATATATATATTTTGGATTTGTTCAATTTTTTTTGCGTTTTAAAATTTTTCTAGAATAAATAGATTTAAAACTAATTCCTTTTTATACAAATAGAAAAAAAGAAAAAAAAAAGTACTAAGTGGTTGTTTGAGATGATCTAAATAAGTGCACTTTTTGACTTTTTATGAAATATGAGTTGGGTTTGGGTTTGGTTTGAAGTGATGTGTTAGAGAGGTGATGTGACTTAAATAAGATGATACGACTTCAATAGGATAATGATTTTTTGACTTTTTATCTTTTTTCAAGCATGCCAAACTTGGCCTAAATACAAAGGAAAAAGCTTGGGACCCCAATATGGGGACTCCCATGACCCCAAATGTGTGTGATTGATTCATGTGTATTTTTTTATTTTTTTTCTCTCTTTATCATATAGGATAATATGAGGGTTGTTGCGGTGAAGTTTTTGTGAGGATCTCAGTCACAAATACCAAAATGTTAAAAGAAATATATGTATAACTTTTGTAACTGTGGCATGTAACTGAAAAGTGGCTTATGCTGATCCATCACTCCGTAAGACTTGGATAGCAAAGAAAAATAATTTGGAGCGCGTAGAGCTCTAAACAGGTGAATTTTATTTGTAATGTGAAGTATGTATTTGTTTTGTCTTGTCCCGTCCCATTATTAAAGCTTAAATTAGAATTTGGTACCATTGTTTAATAAAAAAATAAGATTTAGAATTGTGTTCAATTGATACAAAAGGAAAAAGAAAATAAATTTAATTTTCATTTTTGTACGTGTCTCGAGTTATTATAAGAAAATATGAATCTGTCCATTATATAATTATTTTCTTGAACAAATTCTTTCCTTCAAATTATTTTTCATAAAAAGTACAAAAATATATATCAGAAAAAGTTCAAAATATTTTTATTTTGTTTTGTTTCTCATTTTAAAGGGACCCTTGAAGTGGGAAAAAAACAAAAACAAAAACAAAAATCATTTTCCTATATGTCTATATCTATAATGTGCCCAAACCCACGAATTCCCACGTGGCATCCTTATAACCATGTAACCAAAACCTGGACCATTATCATCACATCACACGTCAAACAAAATGAAGTCTATTATTTGCACGAGCCAACACCATATATCAATCTTAAGGCTAGTGAGCTACGCAACAAAATTCCCAATCTCATTAAAGATAAACCCTCCTACAGTCTTCACCACACAAAAATACTTGGTCCTCCCACGCGCGACACCAAATAAGAGTGAGTTTTTATAGCCTGTTTGTTCCCTCTCAATTTTCCGAAAAAATGGGGTGCTCTTCATCAAAACGCATAGATGTGGCCATTGATGCATATCGTCCTCCACCATCAAGTTTCGCGGTCTTCGATATCAACGCCATAAAAGAGCCATGGATTATGATGGACGATACACCGCAGGAGCACGATGAAAAAACTACGCACGTGCCGGAACCGATTCTCGACAAGCTCAACACTCTCGATTCCGATGGCCCGAAACCGTGGGACGAAGTCAGCAAGGCCTTGGAAGACCTCAAGCCCACTCTAACCAAACCCAAGCCCAAGCCCAAGCCCAATTTTCCTCAAGCCCAATCCTCGCCCGACCCCGTACGCCCACCGGCGCACGATAGCCCCGCCGCCGCAGCCGAGAAACAAGCGATGAGCAAAAGCTTCTCCTTTCACACGCTGGAAGAGCTCGATGCCAAGCTCTCCTCCAAACCCAGTGAGTTGAAGAAAACCGAGTCGATGCGGACCGAGTTGAAGAAGAACGAACGAGTCATCAAGCCCGAGTTGAAGAAAATCGACCGAGTCAAGGCCGAGTCGCGAGTTGGGTTTGAGCAACCGACCGAGTCCGGAGGTGGGTACAAGCCGGTGAGAGAGAATATATTCATAGTGAAAGACAGGTTAGAGAGAGAAAGAGAGGGAAAGCAGCCACTTCCGGCGAAGTGGGACCCACTGAGTGAGTACCCGGAGAAGTGTCCGCCGGGAGGTTCCGACTCGCTGGTGCTTTACACGACGTCGCTCGGCGGCGTACGGCGGACTTACGAGGACTGTAACCGAGTCAGGACGATTCTAGAGACTCACCGAGTTTTGTTCGACGAGAGAGATGTATCGCTGCACGGAGGGTATTTGAAGGAGTTGAAGGAGATGGTGGGGGAGGAGGAGGGTGTGCCGCCGAGGTTGTTTGTGAAAGGGAGGTATGTTGGGGGGGCGGAGGAGGTGGTGAGTTTGAACGAGACGGGTCGACTCGGGAGGATGATGAAGTGGGCTAGAGTGGAGAGAGGAGTGGTGGGGAGACAAGGGTGTGTTGGGTGTGGTGGGGCTAGGTTTGTGCCTTGTTTGGATTGTGGTGGAAGCTGTAAGGTGGTGGTTGGGGATAAGAGAGAGAGGTGTTCTGAGTGTAATGAAAATGGCTTGGTCCAATGTCCTGTTTGTTTGTGATTACTTCGATGATTGTGGTTGTTTCTAGTTTGAAGGCCAAGCTGCATAATTTTTACTGTATATTTGATGTGCTGTTGAATAGTAGTTGATGTATGTTATATATGTGTTGGTTACATAATTTGGACAAGTCACTTACAATTCGACGCGTGATAAAATAAGGGTGATATAAGAAGACTATTCAAGTCTTCGAATCTGATCATACACATGGCAGTTAGTATTGGTTATTACGAGATCTGAGTAGCAGTGGATCAACAAAGAGATGCAAGGTGATGTGGCTTCAACGGTTACTCGCATTTCAAATTCAAATTTAGGAGGGAAGCTTAACTGCGGATAATGACGTAATGGAGCTAATATTAGGGCAACATGATCAGCGATCATGGAGGAGCAGTTCGACGGTTGGAAATGCAATTCGATGGTCATCCTCGAGCAGTATAAATAGCAGAGAAGGCCCCAGAAAAAAGCCCCTGACTCCGATCCAAAAAACCAGTCGTATTCTACTTTACTTAGTTTTACATTTCCTGTTCTTTACATTTCAGTACTTTAAATTCTGCACTGCACTTCATTCATAAGAGTAGTTTCAAGTAGATTGTCGTTGTAAACCTCTACGATGCTGAGTTTGAATTATTGTAAGTTTTTCATTCTAATGAAATGCTTCAGTTGTTCTTTAGTTGATTGATATTTTGCTTAATTCTCCTAAATCAAGCCACCAGTAAAAGTCCTCTTCATTGAGGCTGAGAGAACTAAAACACAATTGTCTGATAATTGGTTGACAATTAAATTTCTATAAGGACTAATTGATCCTTATTGGCACGCTCACAATTATAATAATAACCTTCAAAAGCCAAAAAAATCAACATATATTTTTGGCACGCCCGGTGGGACCAATTGAAATGGCTAGACGTAGGAGACAAGGAGAGAGAAGAATGAACGTCTGAAGAAGAAGAGAAGGAGAGTAGAAGTACCTAATTCAGCGAGATTAATGTTAATAACACATCCGTGTGGAGCACCTAGTTCATCAGAACTTCATGGTCTGAACAGCCAGTACTTCAAATACAAGTTTCATATACGGTATATTGCTACGAGACGAAGAATTGGACCATCCACTGTCCCATCCTACTCAACGCTAATAATCCATGACGGTGCCTTAATAGATGCATGGGACAGGCAATAATGACGCAATGGGACAGCGAATTAATGAAGCACAAATGGAAAGGACTCAGTAGCAACATCTTTTTTGATCTGAATGAATAACAACCAACTAACAAACGTAAAGAACATGCGAGAAAATTGCGAAATTCCCTCAGCAAAAGATTTGGTCTAGACGATACCTTATGCAAGTTAGATGGACATTCTAATGGTCCAACTTAGTAATCAGAACTATGAAATACCATCACCCTCATGTCTTGGTACGAACCTGTTTCAAGGCCTGAGTAGGTCAAGAAGTCTCAGTAACTTAACATGTAAGCCATGCCAATCTCTGGTATGAACTGGGCCACCAGTACAAAGAAGAATGCTCAAAGAAAACTGGTTCCAAATCATGTTTCGAAGCCAACTTGACACAAAGGGGTTCACTATCCTATTATCGAATTAATATACCCGCGGGTTGGAAGGTTTTCCTACAAAGTGAGAGACCACCCCAGTACCAGCTACCCTTTAGCAGGTTCCTTTGCAGGACAAAATTCAAAGAGCTGTTCCACTCACACAACCTTTGACCCACAGCAACCTGCACCACAGGGACAACCAGTCCCAAACATACCGCCTTATGGACCAAGAGGACCACAAGCACAAGTTTGTCCACCAAATCCTGTGTTTGTTCCTCCAGTAGTGGTTCAACAGGCACAAAATATGATCCCTAGGGACCAAATTGCTGACATCGTTAGGGAGATGTATGGACTGATGGCTCGGGGGGTCCAGACTCCTGTGTACAGAAAACCATACCCAGAATGGGTAGATAGGGTACATGAATACCCAAGAGGTTTCAAGATACCAGATTTTACCATTTTTTATGGGAATGGAAACCAATCAACAGTAGAGCATATTGCTAGGTTTGCTGCTCAATGCAGTGAAATTACTAATAATGACTATATGAAGCTGAGACTGTTCCCAAACTCTCTAACTGGGGGAGAATTTGTAGGGTACATTAACCTTACACCTTGCTCAATCCAAACTTAGCAACAAATGGAAGAAGCATTTCATGCCCAATTCTTCCAATTGGAGCCAGAGGTTTCTATGGTAGACCTGGCAACGTTGAGTCGAAGGCCTAAAGAAAAGGCTACTCAGTTTATTGCCATATTTAAAAGGGCTCAAAATAAATGTAGAGTCATCTTGTCAGAGCCAGAATTCGTAAGATTGGCTCAAAATGGCTTAGAGTTTAGGCTTCGAAAGAAGTTTGACTCAACTGAGTTCAAGGACTTAGTGGGACTAACTTATAAGGTATCTAGGTATGAAGTATTACTAGAGGAGGAACAAGATCGAAATAATGCATCATACAAGACATACTACAAAGATCCTAATTATGAGATCGATGCAGTAGAGATTGTGGGGAAAGAACCTGTGATCTGTGAAGCATTGATTCATAAGGATACAACAATTGACCAGCAGTTTAAAAAGAAAGACCTTCACAGGAAATACTCTTTCGATTTAACTAAGGCAGATGACATCTTTGATCATTTGCTTGCGGCCAACTTCCTTAAGTTACCAAAAAGGGTTAAAATTTCATCTCTTGATGAACTTAAAGGAAAATATATTGTAAATGACATAATTCTTGGTCTCACTCGACTAAGAACTGTATTGTTTTTCGAGACAGGATCCAAGAACAAATTCGGAAAGGAAGTTTGAAATTCCCAGCCAAAACTGAAAGAGGCCATGGGGATCGACAGTAATCCATTTCCAGAAATTGGAGAGGTGGCAGCTAATGTCATTATGTCAGATTTTCAGAACCTGTCTTAGAAAGAATTGGAAGAAGTCAATGTGCAGATGCATGTGGCCAACCAGACAACTATTAAGAAAGACACTAAAAATCTACCAGCTATTGGACAAGGTTTCTCACACCAGAGGGAAGACTTTGAGGAAGAAGCACAGGATGACAATTCCTTAGAAGCAGCTGTAATGCAGAGGATGTGTCCTAGGTGCAGACTAAGCTACAAGTGGTTGAAAGGACTTCCAATTGATGGGAAACAATACTACAAGGATGTGCAAAGACGTCCTAAACCAACCAATGCTTACAATAAAAGGCCATATCCATCTGGTGTCAGGCAGCAGCCATTGAGGGTTGAACCAGCAGCTGATAGGATGCATTCCAAAGGCAAGAGGCCTTTACATGAATCCAGGCCGCCTAATTATTACAGAATGGAGAGCAGTCATTCTGAGAGGAGATTGGAGAGAGGTTCAGTTTATGGGATCAAAGCCAGAGATTGGCCCCCTTGACCAGCCTCACGCAACACAGAAAGTGGACACCTTCATCGAAGGCCTGAGTCAGGCCCAAAGCATGAAGTCAGGACCAAGCAGTGGCCTTCGCAGCTAGCTTCAAAGATGACTTCGAAAGAGGAAAGAAGCAGTTCAACGGCAGGGTCAGTAGGTTCGTGGATATCTGGGGTCCCAGATTGGTTTGTGATTCAAAATAAACCTAAGGAAGTGTTTACCCAAAGAGATGTAATTGGAAACCAAAGCAGGATGGTTAAGCCTCCTTTGGTGGCTCCAAACAATTGGGTATTGCTTAAGCACCTAAAAACAAAGGAACCAGATATGGTCCTTGTAATTTCTAGATCACAAAGGAGAAAAATTCAGCGTAGGTACACTCAATACCAGCGAGACCTGAAAGAGAATGGAGAGAGTTCTTCATTGGTACAGACAGAAGAAAAGAAGAATCCAAAGTTTGACCATACTCCAAAACCAACTCCACAAGGCAAAATGGGTTGCAGCAGAGAACAGTTGGCCAAAGTTCACTCTGAACAAAAAGCTAGAGAGAAGTCCAGTTTAGCGGGATTGGAGAAAGCATTGATGGAGAGTGACAGCGAGGCAGAGACAGAAGTTGGCTTATGCCAAAAGAAAGAAATGGTTGAGGAAGAAATGTTCGAAGCTTTCATGGCTGAACAAACATTTCTGGTTGAAAAACCAGTCGTGACAGACCATTCGAAGGATGGAGTACCAGAGAGCAGTATGGAGGATGCTTCTGGAGTAACTGAACAAGGTGGCCAAAAGGAGAAGCAGACACAGCCAGCCATCTAATTTGGCTCAGTGTCAGTGAACATGGTACACATACTACCGCATGAATTCCAAGCTGGAGATGAGAATCAAGAGGGGCAAGAAATTGACCCAAATCCAATCTCTAGCGAAGACTCACAAGTGAGTATGGTGCAAGATAATTCCGGAATGGTTACCCCAATGAAAACTGAATATGAGAGTGAAAAAGTGGTAAGTATTAACCTCTCATATCCTTTTGAATATCTCTCGAATTCAATGATACAACATGTCAAGCCTTTGTATATTAAGGCCTTCTTCGATGGGATACAACTGAACCGAGTCTTAGTGGGTAATGGGGCAGCGGTGAACTTACTACCAAAATCTTCCTTGAAGAAATTTGTAACGCCCTAAAAAAAAAAAATAACAGTTAAATCAACATTTTAGACATGCATTGATACAAAAGAATTCAACCATTTCTATTCCTCAGAGTGATTCTTACAATTGTATTACATGTTAACAACAAAAGCAAATGCCCTATGGGCTTACAGCTTTTCCAAGTTAACACTTGGTTACAAAAAGAAGAGTACTAACTCAATACATATTAAGCCCTTGACTTGAATTTACATGTAATACCTCAAAATAAACAAAAGAAAGAGTCTTCAACTCTCATCATCATCCAAGCTATGTCCTTGGGGGTGGCATACTACCTGTACCTGAAAATAATGTCCCATAAAGGGTGAGCCAACGCCCAGTAGAGATATGCTAAACATAGTATAAGCAATGACTAAGACATTAGCAATTGATAAATGTTCAACTTTCATAAACCAATTCATAATCCATTTCCATTTCATGACCACTATGTTCATGTTTCATTTCAGTTTTCATTTCTTATCAATTTCACAATTTACATCAATGGCTCAGAACCTGGCCAACCACTTATATGAGACGATGACTCATATCGAACACTTTCCATTATTCAATAGATAAACATATTAGTTGTATCAACATCTCAACAGATAAGCATACAAGTTATATCCACATTTCAACAGATATGCATATTAGCTATATCAACACTTCCAAAGATAAGCATATGAGCTGTATCAATACTTCCAAAGATAAGCCTATGAGCTATATCCACACATTATCTGACAAGCATATGAGCTGCATCAGTGGAGTCTATCCCCTATCTCCTCCCAAACAACATCTGGTTTAGAGGTCCATTCCTTATCTTCCCCTAAACCGTGGAGTACATCCCCTATCTCCTCCCACACACACAACATATATAC